TACCAGTGTGAACAAGCAGTCTAAATAAAATTGTACTGCCCAACAAAGGTAGTATATAGTGTCCAGTATCAAATAGACTAGGACTGAGACAATGCTGATACAAATCGTGAAGGGTTTCCTTCTCTGAGTCCGTGTAATCATAATCGTATTCGACATTGTTGTGCAAACACTCGTAGTCTAGACAATCGTCCTCGTCGTTGTAGAAAACAGTTGTGTCTGCATCTTCCATTGCAGCAAGAATAAAGACAACTGATCAGCATAGCACGTTATAAGATTTGTATTCTGTGTTCGGCCTGTTTTTTCCAACAAGAAAAGAACATATAAAATTTGAAAATTAGATTAAAAAGATAGAAAAGATGAATAAAATAATTAGAAAGGAAAGATGTAAATTAAGAGGAAAGATAAATAAGGGGATGAATTAATTTTATAATTAAAAAATATAGTATAGCGTGCGTGCTTCAAGTAGAAAACGTGTTGTGAAAGCGTATAAACAAAAGGATTTCAAGGCCTGTGAATAAATTTTACGCAATTGTACAATGCTTTCGTATGTATATACACCACGTAATAAATTATATATTACAATCTTTCATTAACTTCAAAATAGCGATTTTTTTTTAAACACATACTTTGCCGAATGTCCAAGTCTAATAACAACAAGGTATTTCAAACAAAGATTGTTAGTGAGATAGTATCATATCAGAGATTGTCAACATAGCGGCGTGCTGAAAAAAACTTGCACCTCGAGGATAATAGAAGGACACTGTAAACTCTGCTTATCGGATGCTGCACTCTGCAGAGAAGGCTCCGATTGCATACATTGCATGTTGCACACATGCGTCGCTAATTGGCTAATTTAAAAATAAAATATTCTCATTGGTAAGGGTCTGCGCACAATAGAGGAACAAGAATTAGATATTAAGATTTCAACCTATCAGAAATCGTGTATTCCGATGTAATCAGTTTCTGATAGGTTAAAATCTTAATATCTAATTCCTGTTCCTCTATTGTGCTCAGGCCCTTAAGCAGTGAAAAATTACTAGACACCAGCTGATATGAATGATGTGTGCAATCGAGATTGTAGGCAAACGGGATCCTCCCACATAAAGCGGAGAGCACAGACTCTTGCATAACGCATAACACATGAGGCATAAGAAATTGAACCAACCAGAGTTCTCTATTACATGGAAGGGAAAGAAACGGAGAACTTCGATTGGTACATATTCTTATGCATTACGTGTTATGCGTTATGCAAGTCTGTGCTCCCCGCTTAATCCTACGAGGTTTGGTATGCATGCATATATGAGGCCTGTTCTTTTTGGCTGAAATTTGGCACCAGTTCATCTCTCTTCCTTTTCTCTCCAGGAGAAAAGAAGAGGAAGAAAGATGAACTGGTGCAAAAGTTTAACCAAAATAAACAGGCCTATGTAGTAGTACACACCAAAGACATAAGAGAATGCGCGACCCATGTGTCAAAATGGTCGATAGGAATGAGAGAGAGAGGGATCGTGATAGACGGCCATTTCTATCTCTTTCCATTCAATGGTGTAATGAGAGGGAGATGGCCGTTCCCCGGGGTGATCCCGATTGATCACGGCTCGATTGGACACCACCAATCACAGCGACCGGTGCTTAGGAGCTTCGTAGAGACCATCTAATCGGAGTCGCGACACGAGAACAGCCAATTTTGATTGCGTTCGTCATTTTTCAGCAATTCCCGCCAATATTCGAATGTCAATATTGGCTGCGTTCGGGAACGTCGCTCGGATGCCTCGAATTCATCACCTGTCCTTATTTAACATTTAATGTTAAACAAGGACGGATGATAAATCCGAAGCATCGGAGGCATCCGAGCGACGTTTCCGAACGTAGCCATTGTAGGAATAGGCGATGTGCGTATCGATACGTTAAAAATCGTTCGCAAACTAATCTATTTTGTAAAGAATCAATTCTTCCAACCAAAACAAGCATAGAATGACAGAAATAGCGTTAATAGCATCTCCCTGAACGCACATTTTTTCCAACATTTGTCGCCCATAATGCTCGACGTTCAACATCACGCGGAAATATTTTCATTGTGTAGCCTTTGGCTGCAGAATTATTGCAAAATGGGGCTGCACACCCAATCATTTTGCAATAATTTTTAATAATGTTCTAAAAGTCGTACTATAGAAAGACGTATCTTACGGGATCATGACTCACACAAGAACTATGAAGGTTAGAAAGAGACACAATATATTCCTCTCTCTTTCTTGTGATTTTGCTGAAACTAGAGACTTTTAATATAAAGAGACCGTAAAAGAGTGTCTCTAACTAGAGTCTTCGTTCCTCGTGTCGCGATTCTGATTGGAGGGTCTCTAGAGCTTTGTAGTCTCAAGCGCTGTGAGTGGCTCGTGTCCAACTGAGTGCCACCCGCCGTCCCCCACGGTCCCTCTCTCTCACTCTCTCTCTCTCACATTATTAGGGAGTTTTTGCAATAACGTTGGATAAACGGTATTGCAAAAACTCCCTATTATAGACCACATTCGATACATTACTTATATATATAGCGTTTTCGGCCCGGCCGGG